TAATTTCTAGACAAAGAATTATTGACAGAATGATTTGATATTTCAGAAACGTCATTTATGGGAAGCTTATTTGAAGTCTATATATGTAGTTACGAACTGAGTTATTTTATTAAACTTCCCTCGTAAGAACCTTCCCGAGTGAACCGGCTTTCAAACAAAAGAAACCGCATTGAAATCGGTTCATCTGTTTGAGAGCTACGGTGCAAAAGAAAGACATAGAGAAATCAGATGATGATCTTGAAACGATCGAAGTGTTTACCATCAAACATATCTAAGAACCATTCCGATCGAACTAGCTTGCGAACAACAAAAACTGCATTGCAATCGGTTCATCTGCTTGGGAGCTACGGTGCCACGAACACACACACACAGAGAGAGAGGCAAAGGGGTCAATATTATAACACCAATCTTTTTCAGTCGGGGGGGTTAATAATGAAAAACATACTTACCACACACGGATTAAACTGCAGTTATCGCTGCACAGTCTTAATTGACCCTTTTCCTGTAAGATCGTAAAACTTCCGTAGTGACTTTTCGTGCGCACGCATCTTCAAAACCACGTTGGAAATAATATCCGGCATGCCGGCAGCAGAGCAAAGGCACAGTATAGATAACAATCAGTAGAGACGGCTCGCCGTTTTTCGTGACCCGTTTTCGTGGGTGGTCGTTCGCATTATGACCGAATGAGGGCGCCCAACTGACGTCTGTCCCTGTAGAGGGACACTAGTCTAAAATATTTGAAATTTGGCAGTTTTGTTACAATATTTTTGCCAGTTTTGCTTGTTTAAGACTGCTTTTCCGGTAGAATTGTACAAATAGTATAAAAATGTAATTTTCACAATAAAAGGTAAAATCTTTGTCCGATGAATTTTCATACAGGATCCCTGTTGTGCGCCTTATTCTCTCCCTCGTGTTTGGAATTCTTGGAAAAGATAGTAAACATAACACACTTTTTGTTTAAAAAGTCGTCGCAAACGAACAACAACGGTGGTTATGAAATAAATAATAAAAATTTATTATATATGATTCCGTTGTTGTGGTAAAATTAAATATAAAAATAATAAGAAACAAACTACACGTAACAAAAAATTATATAAGCAGACCTTCACTCAATAAACAATTTTTTTATTCATCATGTATATATATATATTTTTTGACCTACACAATCTTGAGTTTTATTTTGAGACGTTGCTTAACCCACAAGCAGTCGCGCGTGGGTAAAAATGACCCAAGCCGTACATTTTGTCAAATATCTTTTTTCGCTTAATCCCTATGGACTTCCGGTTTCATGAATTCCTTAATTATTCTTACCTGCATCGACCCATACCAATTACCTGCACTTTATGCGAGTCGACAAATATGTATTTTTTTTGTAATAATTTTTTTTAAATAAAAATTTTACTTTATGTGATATTACGCTTACGGGTTAAGTTGTTAGGTAAAATGCGTTTTTTTCGTAAAATTTTTGAAATTATTAAACAATTTAACAGGTGCTGTTCTTATTTTTATATTTAGTCTTGTATAAAGTAATTACCATAATTACATTATCATGCCTGTCTATTTATTTCTCTACTTTTTTTTAGTTTTCTACATATATAAATAAGATGGATACTTTCTTTAATAACTAAAAGAGTCTATTCTCGAAAAATATTTAGTCCTCATAAAATACTCCTTTACCTACAGTCCATTACAAACTGTACCATTTCCGGATTAACATTCATGACTTCCGGGTGTGGTCCAGGTTGGACTGGGGACCGATTGTCAATTTCGGCATAAAATAAATGTTTTCCTGCTGTTCATAACGTATTTACGTGTGTTACAGAGATACCTAATTTTTTTAGTTAATTTAGTGCTTATTCCTATTTTGAATCGTTCACGTTGCGACGAAATTCCGGATGGGAGGGACGGACGGACGGTCCGGAATCTCGCCGATAACGTATGGGGTGGCGGCGTACTTGGGTGCCAAGCTTTGGGTCGACTAGTATCGCTGATGTCAGAAACACGTCTGGTCGACCAAGCTTATGCGGCTACCTTCACGCCGCCGGGGGTGGCGCCTTCGGTCAGGAGCGGCGGTAGCTCGGGCGCCAGCTCCCTCTCCGGGGGAGGGAGCGCCGGGGTGCTCTAAAGCCGGAGACACGGAATTCAGGTGATGAGCCGCCGCGAAAACTAGAGAATAATAAATAAAACGGCGAGGGTATTTTACAACAAAAATAGGGTTTATTCCCTGCCACCAGCTACACGTTCTAAGATAATAAATCTTACGGCTAATCAACTTAAATAACTACAGAACGGTTTTACAACAAAAAAAAAAAATTAAATGTCCGGCACGGTCGTTCCTCCTGGGCGGCGACTTCCTTCCAGCCGGGCTCCTCTTGGCTCTGGGGGCGGCGACCTTGAACCTGGAAATCGCGCGAAGACGGTACGGCGACCCGGGAGGGGAGCGCGGTGACGGTAACGACGCGTGCACGACGGTGTCGACTTTCGACGGTGACAAAAAAAACGCGGTGACGGTGACACGGTTTCTCGCTCGGGGGCGGCGATTCCAAAACCGGTACTAACAGGGGCAGACGACCCAAAAAGGTACTTACGGTGGTCGGAGGGTCAACTGCAGACTTGTCACTTCTCAAAATCGCAAAACAGCAGCCACAAACTTCCGCACTCTCTGGAGTTTCAGGCAAGAGTCCTCTACTTCCGCCGCGGCGGCGCGGCGATCGCCAATTTACCCCCGGCTTTCGCGGTACGCGCCACGGTTTCCGGCCCGCGAAAATTCGCTTCGTTACAACGTTTAAAATGGATGGATCAATTAAGAAAAAACCTAGAACTATTGTTAGTGCCATATGCAGTGTTAAATATTGCAAATCATCGTATTTATAAATTAAATATCGACTTTTCTTTTTTCTTATTGCGATTCACGATTATACGATTTGAACAAACTAGACAGTTTGCAATAAATTGCGTACACGAATCAATTTTTGAAATTGTAAATGAAGTGATACTTTTTAAATTGAGTGGCGACATCTAGGAATAGTTTAGGCAACGATCACCCATGACGGCTTAAAATTCGGGTCAGAAAGAACAAAGGCGCCGACACGAGCTGTCTCTACTGCAGTGGCGGCTGGTGGGTCAAAATTTCGGGTCGGCCAAATATTTTGAGTCTACACCTTGGTGTTATATATTTTCGTAATGTATGGCTGCTACTCATTAACCACTGACATTTTACGTGCCAGGATGTACAAAACATCTCAAATGTTTCGACCTGTTAAAATAATTTTTTATAGGAAATTGACAATGTCAGTTTGATTCCAAATACTATTAATCCTTAATTCTACTTGTTCTGCTTTATCATTAATTGAGAACCACCGAAAACATTATTTTTACTGAGTTCCGCGTCGACCGGCGGCTATACGGCTTGCCGACCCCGGACATCCACAATTAAATAATAATAATTAAATAATGACATGCAGTTAAAAAATATAAAAAAAGTAATAATAAAAGTACCAACTGTTAACTATCTTCATTTACATTTATTTATTTTTAATGTATATGACAAATTGTCAAATAAATTAATTGAATAATTGAAAAATTAAAATGATTTAAAACTTTAAATTCGTTTCTGAAATATCTGAAAACGCTTAGATGCTAAAAATACAGAAAAAGCGCATTTATGTTGTAGCTAAGTTATGTACGAAAAATAAAATTTTAGATAATTTAATGTAATTTTTTTCGTTTATTATTCATACACAGAAAAATGTATTAAATCGACAATTATTATTTAAAAAAAAATAGTATGCACTGAAGAACATCGAAGCCGTTATTGTTTTGTAATTTGGTTAGCTATCTTAAATATTAAGCGTTTTAAAAACTAAATTCGCGTTGCTGGGTACGGCGAAGGAGGATTTCGCCGGACCTGGCACAACATACGTTCCGCCAGGTCTTTGTCTACTACAGTGTACTAGACAAAGAGAACGATGAAACCGTAAGCTGCTACGAAGTCGAAACATCGAGCATAATGCATTCCTGGGTACGGCTTGCCGAAATCTCGCCGGCAAAGCGTGTTTATCAGCATTTAAAATTAGCAACAAATGCTTTATTTTGTACCTACAATATAATAAAATATATTTTTAATATATATGATCTATCCTAACGTACATTCAAACTTTATTTCTTTTTTTATTTTCTAATTTCAACGCTTACTAAGTATTTTAAAATGACTGGTACGGCGTGGCCGACCCTGCCGCCCCTGACCAGCCGCCCCTGCTCTACTGATTGATATCTATGCTGTGGCAAAGGTCTGTGACGACAAACCGCTTTGACAGAATGCAACCGGAAACACATGCGTAACCTGTCGCTCATTGGTTAATTTTAACTTGGCGCTCCAAAAATCTGACTTCGCCTGCGCGATGTTGTCTCACTCTGTATCACTGGAATTTATATAATCTCTACTCACTTTGCTTACAGGAAAAGGGTCAATTATTTTGGTCTCAAATTATTTAATGTATTACTTTATTGTTTTGGGAATATATTATAGCTTTTTCTGTCTTATAATTGATCTGAAACAGATTTATGTAAGATTATATTTGTATAGCTTACAGCTATTATCGTTGTAAATAGAAAAAAAAAAATATTCTATAATTTAATAAGATTTTACGAACTGAAAAGTTTACTATTTTACTACAGTGCAGATAGTGAATCTTAATTTTGGAGAGCAAAATGAAGTTAGAATTTGTGCAGAATAATATTGTACTGTTTGTTTATCTCTCATGAAATTGATAGGTTTTGTTTTGGATTATGACTAAAAATAACAGGAGAAAGTAAATTATAAATGTCTTTTGATTTTTAAACAAAAACGAACATGCATTAAATATATCAATAAATTTTGAAATTTGGAACTGAAAGGGTCTTTTGTGCGCAAGGCTAAGATGGGGTGGGCGTTGTTATTCCGCATTGCAAGCGTCGTACATCCTTAGTTTCAAGCGGAATTCGGTAGGGTGCTGTTGCAATTTTCCAGCCGAAAGCCGTCACTCCCTTTTTGTTTCGTAAAATGTACTCAAAACAATATATCAGAAAATCGCAAAATTCGGGATATTATTTATTTAATAATACAAATATAAAAAAATAAATGTGTTACACATGTTAATTTTACACTAATAATAACAAAACCAAAAAAAAAAAACTAAATTGATGTATAACAAAATACTCAATATGAATGTCGTGGTATTTTTGCTTAACGTGTTGATTGTGGTCGTGGTCAGTGGAGGACCAGCATGGAGAGAAGTTCACAGAGGCGGTGGTTTAAGAGTTGGAACTGGTGGTGGTAAAAACACCACTTCTTCTAGAGGAAATGGGATTCGTATTGGCGGAAGCACCAGAGGTGGAAGAATTTCCACCACTGTTATGCCAGAAGAAGATCATATTAGTCAACCAACAGCAACCGCTACTTCTAATCACGAACATACCCTTCTTCATGTTGGAATGGTTCTGCCGTCCAAGTTATTTGGTGTTAGAGAATATACCAAAGCTATTACTTCGGCTAAATACAACTTACAAAGAAAACTGCGATTGTTTAAACATCATGACTTTAAAGTTCACATTGTGTTGAAAGAAATGACTCCTAGTCCAACAGGTAACGATGAGTATTCTTACTGAAAGTTCGAGTTCCTATCAATCAATTAATTACAGCCAATCAATCTTTATGACTGTTTCGATATTTTAGCTCAAAACATAATTCCGAAAAGTTTCATGGTTCTATGCGCCGGATGAGCTATAGTATATTTAATAACACATAATAAATTTATTTTTCATGCCTTAATACATCAACATTTTATGAAGATTAATTAGGTTCATATTTTACAGCTTAATATTTCTACTGGCAATATAATGTTGATTACTGCCCAAAAAAACTGGTATATTAAGGTATCGCAGTTCTTTTATTATTGTTGAAATTCATCTTTATTGATGTTGTACTTGATGTTTATATTTTGTGGTCACTGGAAACCTGTTTGTTAATTTTTAACATAATCTGAAATTTTAAGAATCAATTTTCAGTGAAGTAACATAGCATCCAACATTTAATTTTTTTCGTGTTTTGTACCATTTCACTTTATTATGTATTATTTGTATTCATACTGTTCCATCTAAACTGATTATTATCAAACTGTTTGAAAACTAGCAACCGTTAAAAGTAACTTATATATAAAAATAAGGAAAAAATGTGCTTAGGAACAATACAAAGTTAGCTGTTATTCCGGAAATTAATTTCTTAAAAATTGGGAAAAGAAAATGTTCTTTTTGTAGTATATTTTTGGCAACATTACAACAGTGTACGTTCCGTGACAAAACTTTTGTACGTAGAACGTGTAATTATTTAATACTAACTAAAATTATTCTTGAAGTACCATCCTACGAGATTAGCTGTGCATGTTTTTTGAAAATTTAAATACGTGTCTCATGTTTCAGTTTTTATTATACATGTAGATATAATTTATTAGTTTATTAGTAAAGACATCGATATGTGGTGTACGTCAGATTTAATAACATGTTATACATTATACACAATGACGTTAAAAGTGTGGCAAAAGCAAACGCCAAGGAAGTGCCACTCCCTATTAGTACAATGACCTTACTAATTTCTTTCAAAAACTAAAGGCACTTGTTGCTTTACATGTAGTGTTATATGTTACTCCTATTTTTTTAACAGAGAAGTGTCAAGTGATACGTATATATGTTAAGAATTAGCATTATAAAATATAATTATATAACACAACAACTGAACGTTATAATGTACCTAAACTAATTGAATCATTCCAAAAATTTAATGAATTTAATGAGAGAATATTTTTACACTAAAGTTTCATTTTTCTACTTTTATTATACACATACTTAATCACTGAAATTATTGGATTATATGTGTGATGTTTTAAAGTTATCAAAAATTATACCAATCCATAAGAAGGGATCACGTGCATACATCGAATTTCAGGCTAATTTCTTTAATTCCCATTCTAGGAAAAGTATTGGAGGCTATTTTAAAAACTCAAATTTGTAATCATTTTGAACACAATAACTTATTCAATAAAGATCAGTTTAGTTTTCGTCGCAATTCGTCAACGAGCCTAGCTATAAACAGAATAAGTGATATAGTTTTAAATGCCTTTGAGAACAAAGAGTATGCACACGCTTTATGTCTAGACTTAACAAAAGCGTTTGATTGTGTTTCATATAGCTTACTTCTAAAAAAATTAGCCTATTATAATTTAGACAACTCATGTATTAAATTGTTAGAATCGTACTTGCATGAACTTAGCAAGGAGTACTCCAAGGGTCGGTCTTAGGACCGATTTTATTTTTAATCTTCATTAACGATTTACCTGACTGCGCTCATGATACTAACTTTATATTGTATGCAGACGATATAACACTCATAGCAACTTCCCCTAATCTAAAAACACTTCAGAGTAACATTGGTATGGTGGAGTTGAGCGTGAATGCTTGGTTTATCTCTAATCGACTATGTCTTAATAACGCAAAAACTAAGCAAATTTACTTTAGTCTTACAGATTTAGAAATCATAAATAATAATGAACCAGTCCAACTACTAGGAGTTTTACTCGATAGCAAGATGACGTGGAAGGTTCATATCACTCAGTTAGCGAAGACGGTTTCCCAAAGATTGTATGTCATGCGTCGTTTGCAACATATTGTATCTACATCTACTTTAAAAACTGCTTATTTTGGCTACATACACAGTAAAATTTGCTACGCAATTTTAGTTTGGGGTCATTCCTGTCATCTCTACAAATTATTTGCTATTCAAAGAAAGTGTGTACATATTATGAGTAAATTGAATTATAGAGACGATTGCCGTAATGCTTATAAAATGCTAGGAATAATGAGTGTACCTTCTATATACATTTTCTCCTGTCTCCTGTATGCAAAAAGAAACAGCGATCAATTTAGAGGGCTTGATCATTTATATGATACAAGACATAAGAGCTTACTTCAACCCGAATCTCTAAGGCTTTCACGTACATACAAGAAATGATATACAATTTTTTTGTCATCAGCTGTTTAACAGTCTTCCACTAACTCTTAAAGACAAAAGTTACGCCAGTTTTAGATTTTGTGTAAAAACCTTATTGATTGAGAATGCTTTTCATTAGAAGAATTTGTAAAATTTAATTTTCGATAGTGTACTTATATTTATTGACGTATGAAAAATTACTCTGTAATTCTTGTCATGAATAAATTACAAAAAAAAAAATTACTATACTATGTTATACTATACTATACTATATATGGATGGAAAAAGGTTACCAAAATGTGTGTAATCGTTCCCACCAACAATGTGGGTGTTAGTTTCGCCTAGTAAATGTTTAAGTTTTATAAAATAACTAGCTTTTTGCCCGAGGCTTTACTCGCGTAGGCGGTTCGTTGTGTTAACGACAAGTAAAAAATGTGATGAAGAGCATTGATACAAACAAAGTTTCAAGTAAAAATCCCCATAAAAATATTTTTCCTTATATGTAGACCCCCTTTCATCTTCTTAGAGTGAAATCTTGAAAAAGTCTTATATACGTACTTTATTATTTGTGTTGAAGAGTATTACTACGAAATTCCACTTAAAAATTTACAATAGAAATATTTTTCCCATATAAACTCTGCCACCATTTTTCACCCCCTTAGGGGCTGACTCTCGAAAAATGCTTAAATACCTTTTTCATTATTTGGGTTGAAGAGCATTAATACCAAGTTTTAAGTAAACATCACCATAAAAATATTTTTCCCATACAAACTTAGCCACCCCTCTTTTTACCCCCAGAGGGGTTGAATTTCAGAAAAAAATTAAATACGTGCATACTTGTGTTGAAGAGCATTAATACTAAGTTTCACGTAAAAATTGAAATTTGCAACAGAAATATTTTTTCCATACAAATTTAGCCACCACATTTCACCCTCTGAGGGGTTGAATCTTGGAAAATGCGTCTTAAAAACGGGTTTCATTACTTGTGTTGAACAGCATTAATACCAAGTTTCACGTAAAAATTTAAATTTACAAATTTTAAATTTCCCCTGCAAACTTAACCACCCAAACTTAGCCACCACTTTTTACCCCGGAAAAAACGTGTTTCACGTAATAATGTAATCTACAGTAGAAATAATATTGGTCCTATACAAATTTTATCACCTCTTTTAACTCCCTTGGGGGGCAAATTTTGAGAAATACCTTCTTTAACCATGCCTCCAGTATAAAATGAACATCCTCCCTAAATTTCAAATTTCTATAATTAGCGATTTGGGCTGGGCGTTGATAGGTCAGTCGGGACATTGCCTTTTATACATATATATAGATATACTACTACACACTTTTTACCCTAGACATCCAGATTTTTGGAAACAAAATCAAAATTGTATAACATTTTATAAATTAACTTTAAAACTCCAGAATCGAATGCTCTGAAATGTTACAAATGTTTTAAAATTATCCTAGGCATGACAAATCGCAAATCTAAATGTTTATTTTCTCAAAAAAATTGATGACGTCATCTCAAAATTTTGCGTAATAAATACTACCTAAAATGTGCAAAATATGATGAGTTTTACTTGTGATTTATCACTGCATTCATAGTTTTTAGATTTGTTTTATATAGGTGGCTCAAAAAAAAAATGAATGAGTCAATTTATTTTATTGATTAACGGCTCATTCCATTTTCCCAGAAAATTTTGGGAATACAGTACTATTATTTTTAGTTTTACACTGCACCAATCCAAGTTGACATACGTGTCCTTGCAAAAATGATGATGACGTCATTACAAAATTGTGTATTAAAGTAAAAACTCAACTCGAAAATGCTAGATATGTTGCACTGTATTTTAGGTGCGAGGGAAGTTCTGTCGAAACAATTTTCGACCATTTTTTTTTAAACTACACCAATCACATCAATTAAGCATTTGAATATATACATTTTTATTACAATTTACTTATTACCTATATTTACTTTTATGGGTTCTTTGGCAAACTACAGTTTTGGATTGAACAAAAAATTGTATGTCCTATCTATTGTAGACTATTGTATACCACGTAATACGAACTATTCTAAAATATTAACATTTTGATTATAAAATACTCATTACAAATTTCTCACTATTCGATCAGCTTATCTTCTAGAAATGGATTAACACTGTAATAGTTTTAAATCTAAACCCTGTAAGCTGCATTTAATTTATTATATAATATTCTTTCTATGTAATGAGGATTATTTTCATATGAAGATGTTCTGTGTTTGGGAACTTCTAGTAAAATATTGCACCTACTAATGATTTTAATATTTATTTTCCGAAACTGGAAGATATTTGTTTAAACATATATTAAAATATTATAAATAAATAGATAGAGTTATGTGAGAATACCCAGCTTTTTACAAATATTTTTGCAACTAGTTGTAGCATTTACTCCTGCAATACATTGTATGGTTCTCTTTTGCAGTTTGAATACTCTTTGTGATTCAACGCTTATATATATTATAACCCAGACCATATGATTCCAAAGACTGGATTTGAGCAAAATAACATTAGTATATTGAATAGTGTAATTGTTTTTTGATCTGCTTTATTGGTACATGTATT